ATGATAGATCAATCTAATGATCACTTATTGTTGTCACTAATCCATAACATAGTTCACTATTAAAAACAATACAGTAGTTCTTGAATGGCACAATCAATATGTTTAACTATAAAACTTTTCATATCTCAAAATTTAGTCTAATTGAGATACATAGAAGTTAAAAGATTTATAAATACAAAACTTCCCAACTTCAACTATTTTGTCACTGTACCTGTACTACAGTAATGACTGATGTTCAATGTTATAAATTTATTTTACAGTTTTATGACATTAAAACTAAACGTTTATGCTATAAATTCATAATATATTATATGAAAAACTGAAAACAATTACAAGTACGGTATTGTGTTTCTAATTCCTAAATCATATCGCAATAATAATTTATACAGACATATTTGATTTAAATCCCAATAATATAATACTTATTTTATAGTTACTCTAAGAGTTATCAAAATTTATAACCATTTATGAGAAGACAATACAAATTTCTATGTTATCTAAAACTATATAAATCAATGGGAATGGGAACATACCTTAAAAGAACAGACGCCCTCCAGAGGAGGCGAAGGGGACAGCTGTCGGAACTGCCACTGCGACTGCTTGGACGGCAGTAGCGGGAGCGCTAGTTTGTGAAACAACCAGAAATAGAGTGGGCAGTGAAGCAGGTGTTCTTTAAACCACGGGAAAACCAACCGCTGCTGGACGATGGAGTAGCGCACCTGTCCGTTGTGACCCTTGTCCTGATCGGTGGCCTTCACAGTGACCACAGGTGTGCCACTGGGGGCGCCCTCTTCCACCTGAGGGGCGTATAGACTGCACTCTTCGAAAATGGGTTTATTGTCGTTCACGTCAGTGATGAAGACGACGACTAACGCAGTGCTCGTGTGTGTAGTGAGCGCTCCGTTCTTACAGCAGGAGCCGTCATCCCTGGCCGTCACATTCAACTCATACTTGTCTTTATCCAACTCTATCTCTCCGGGAATGAGTCGAATAACACCCGTCCGCTCCTCAATGGTAAACATGCCGGAAGTGGTGCCGCCGCCCACGAAACCAAAGTGAATGTTATCGCCGTCCTTATCACTGGCGACGACAGTAGTCACTAAAGTGTTGGGTCCGGCGTTTTCGTCCACATTCGGAGTGTACACGTCTTGACTGAATTTAGGCGTCTCGTCGTTCTTGTTCTCCGTGTAAACCCTGACGGTTGCCGTTCCGGTCATCGGCGGGTCTCCCCTATCGGTGGCCTTAACTGTCAACACATATGTATTGTTTACGTCGGCGTCCAGTCGTTTGTTTGAGTAAATGATTCCCTTCTCATCGATAGTGAACTCTTCGCGACCCAAAGAGTAGACAATCTCCGCGTTCTTTCCGGTATCCAAATCACTGGCAGATACCTGAAGAATGGAAGTGCCGATCGGGATGTCCTCATCGATGTTGTGGGCCTGATAGTCGGGTAACTCGAATCGGGGGGCGTTGTCGTTCACATCCGTCACTTTGATTGTCAACTCGACGGACGTCGAGAAACCGCCGGAATCTTCAGTTGCCGTCACAATCAGAGAGTAAGTCTTGGGTTGTCTCAGCTCTTCGTAATCGAGTTCTTTAGCTAATTTCACGACACCAGTGGTGGGACCGATATTGAAAGTACCGGCGCCTTTGCCCTGAGCTCTCAGTGTATATCTGATGTCTCTGTCGGCAAACGATTTGGCCTTAACTTCAATAATATCGGAATCCTTTCTCTGGTTCTCGGGAATAGTTGCCTCATATCGGGGTAAATAGAATTGTGGCGGTCTTTTGCCGCCCATAATCGACAGGCGCTCCTCTTTGGTCGACTGGAACTGTCGGTCACCGGTCGGGCCGTTATGGTCTTCGGCCTTAACGTATAGCACGTACTCCTTGTCTAACATGAAGGCTTCGGCCCCTCGGGTCCGCACTTCACCGCTGCGTTCGTCCACTTCAAAGCGTCCGCCGGCTATCCATTCAAACAAATGGTTACATAATCTCATCAAATCATCTCGAAAACAAAGACTCACTTCTGTCGCGAATCAAGAAGTAGTGAATGTTGTGGTCAGTGTCGGGGTCGCGGGCCTGCAGTTTGAAGACCGGCGTTCCCGGCGGTGCATTCAATTGGACGACCGCTTGCATGGGAAGGGGTCTGTTGATGAAGTAAGGGTTCTCGTCGTTCACATCCTTCAGATGGACGATAATCCTCTGCCGCTCCAGTTCTGGTCAATACAAACACACCAATGAGTCAATTGGTCTCAATAGGGGGGGGCGGGAGGGGGCAGTGGGGGCAGAGAATGAGTGGCAGACATACCGGACAGGTGTGGTCCCTGAGCGTAGACCCAGAAGTCGATGGTCTTCTCTTTGGAGAGCTGTTCGTAATCCCAGGTCTCCTTCACTTTGACGGCGCCGTTGGTGTCAACGGTGACCCACCGGTTGGGCGCCTCTATCTTATAGGTCTCTTCGGAGATCTTGCGGTCCAACTGGAAAACAGTCATTCCCTGAACAGATCCGTCCGACTCCTTGAACTCGTAGCTCTTCGTCGGTCTGACGGACCTCTTCTGCATAGATCTGTGATAATGATTGGCTGCAGCGATGCCACTGTTGAGCACCACATGTATGGACAGCAACACTACTGTCGCCCAAAAGCTCCTCATTTCTGGTGATTTATATTTCATAGTCTTTCGTGCGATTCATCAATCAATGGATCCAATGACCACTCATTGACCACAATATCAGTGATGAGTATATGAGCGCTAAATACCACTCCAGACACACACTAACCACTCGCTCGTCATAAACACATATCACCCGCACATACCATGTCTTGTGTCCAACACTAGTGTATAATAAATAGTAATGAAGTGAATATGAAATGAATATATCACTCAAATTGTATTGAATTTAATGAATGAATGAATGAATCATTTGATAAGTGATTGCATTCATCATCACAACAGTCACTGCATTCACGGCACACACACTCAGCATAGCATTCAATGCATTGAAATCACAGTTCAGTTCAATTCAATGCAAAACAACGCCCTTTCACTTGAAGTCCAACGCAAACTCACTCATCGCACACACCATCAGCACAGACCGTCATATACTTCGTGCCCCCTCTGCCCCCTTAACTTCGTTATACATCTATTTATTCATAAAATGTTTATATTTACAACTCCCGACAATAAATAAAATGTAAACTAATTGACTAATTGCACAATGTTTCAATAAGATTAATTTGGACAAGTATTTAATGAATTGATGGGCACTGGTATGGGTTGCGAGGCCTCCCACGTCTGCATTATTGTGTAACAGTATATGTGAGGGACTGGACTAAGGGTTAGTGATTCGTGTGATGGCCGGGTATACGGTATGACAGTTAGGCTATGAGAGTATGAGAGTATTGAATGGCAATCATTGAGTCAGTGAGTGAGAGCTCAGGTATGCTTTGGCCAGTTGTATGGCATAGCAAAGCATTGGATTTGCTTTTTGAATACTTTTTGAATACTTTTTGAATACTTTTTGAATACTTTTTAAACGTGTATTCAAAGCATGCAATCGAGAGACGGGTTTGTGGTTGAGTTGACATCACTTTAATCAACAGTTTTTGAAAAGTTTTTTAAAAGTTTTTTTTGTTTCTCTCGATTCATGGCATTTGGGTTTCGAAACAGGAATTTCTCGCAAATAATATCTTTTGAGAGCTATTTATGAAACATATTATGATATCATATAAAATACACCACTGTTTGCATTACCATTCAATAGACCGGAAACATATCTCATAAACACTTATCTATAGATTATTGACATCGAAAACTAATTCTTAGAACACGTAATGTATGTCTTATATAATTGATGGGACTCGTAATGTATATTAATGTAGATAACTCGTATTAAATTTATGGCCACGAGTGAAAGTATGTGGCAAATCCTTATATAGTACTCTTCCGGAAAAGTCAAGATTTATGCAAATTATATACACGAAACATATTTTACTAAACATTTGTCACACTTTTATTAAACAATTTGTGTTGAAATGAGTGTTAAGTTTGAAGGGAAATGAGTGTTATTTGACTCCAATGTATGAATCCTAAACAATTCTCATATGTTTAACGCATATTGTAATAACTAACCAAATGATTTCAATTCCTATGGAATAAATTACTGTATCTCAGCTTGAATTCAAAATATATTCTTTAATAATAGTTTTAATATTTATTAAATATAATTTCTATTCAATATTATATCTAATATTACAGTACTGTAATATGTAAATGCATAAAGGAATCTGTGAAATAACTTTACTTTCTTATGGAAATGTGTTACAAACAAACTTCATAGTATGAAGTTCATACTTAAGACATGTACAAACAGTAGTCATATTTAATTTTAAATAGTATTCATTGAATATTGATTCATTTTGTCAATATTGTAGTGACTCTGTTTTTTTGTAAATTGTTTTTGCGGCCTTTATTTCTTAAAATTTATTTCTTAAGTGAAAAATTTCCTTAAATTGTGATTAATGTGCTTGACACCAAAAACAACACTATACTTACAGTTTGTTTATAAATTAGGTATTTTAGACATCCGTTAATTATATATGTTTTATCAAATGTATTAATAATGACATAATATATCATTTGAATCGTCAAAAGGGTGGGTAAAGTGAGCCATAATTATGGGTTTGAAACTTATTCTTAATCTGAAATCAAGTCATTAGAAGCTGTTTTGTGTTTAGTATTATAGTTAATATTTTCATTTACTTCATGTTGTATAACATTCCCAAATATTTTTGAAAGAAACAGAAATAATTTTTATACTGTTTTGGTTATTCCCAATTTGCATCCCTGGGTATTCCTACCGGTATGGCTAGATATTATGTTATACTCTGTATAGGTGATGCATTTAAAACCAGTTTTCAATTTATAATAATATTGTAGTATATTTTTGATTGTTTAATATCATAATAATCCGTCTTGTCAAATATAAGATTTTTGAAAATAGTTTGGGTACAGAGCTCAGTTAGTAAAGTTCCAAATATTTTTATTTTCATTAGATAAGTAACTCTTATTTATAGAAAATATTTTCATTTTCTGCAAAATTAATATCATTTATAAATTAAATTTCATAATTAAAACACGCCTTAAAATAGTGTTTGTATCAGCTTATTGTGATAATTGATTGATTAATTTAAAATTTTAACAAAAAATATTAATGCTTTATTTAAGATTAGTAAAAATAGAGCAAAAAAGTGATCAAAGTTTTTGTATTTATGGCATTGAAATGAGATTTTAAAAATTTACTTTTAAAGAATGAATTTACTTTTTATAACTTGTACAGGACTTATAATTTGATAAATGCCACATATTTTTAGAAGAATCATATGATTTATCATTTTGAGCTATAAAACCCTTTGAAATCATAATATTTTTTCAACTAGTTTGATAAAACTTTAATTTAATAAAAGAAAATATACTGTACATTAATATATTTAATTTTAATAAACATTAAGAATATTATTGTAATACTTATTAAACTAATTTTATACTATGAACAATGATCTGTAATAATTAAAGTGATCATTATGACATAAAAATAATTCAATTATAAAACACATTATTGTTTTATTTATTAAATTTTTATATTTAATATTTAATCAAAATAAAAACTTTGATTTCCTCTTTATAATATATTTTGTAAAATTATACTGTAATATATTATAATACAATGTTTTTAGTGTTTATTAAAAGAAGGTTTGTTAAGAATTCAATGGAAAAAACAACAACAAAAATAAAATACTTGAAAAGTGAATCATTAATATCCGCTGTTTAAAAATAACTGCGAAAAGAGTTAATGTTAGATGCTTCAACTAATTATTATTCAATGTGTACAATTTATTTTATTGTTATATAAATAGCAAATGAGCCATCACAATTTTAAGAGCACTTACGTTAATAAACAAAGAAATTAGTACTTGTAAATTACAATATCATACCAAAATATTATTTAAATTACTATAATCATAGCACCTGTTAATAGACTTAATTCTAAATTCTAATTAAATAAATATTAAACAAATTAATATATAAAAACTTATTAGATTAGAAACTATTTTATAATAATTTGCATATGCATTCAAACGGTATTATTCTTTGATCATAGTTTTAAAACTTTTTATCACTCAATATAAATTCAAATAAAAGAAATACTGTTAGAAATGTCATTTAGAAGATATGTTGATATAAATTAGTTTTTTTACATATTATGCAAACATTATAAGATCTTATATCTCTATGTTTGATATATATTTATAATTCAATATAAACAATTTGCCACATTTAAGAATATTTCATTAATTGTTCATTTATTTTTAAATAATTTTTATATAGTATTGTATACAGTACATTAGAAATCAATTAAATGTTTAGTAATTTGTCAAAAAAAACTTATTTAGCACATTATCAGTCATGTGTACGATAGTGACCACACATGCTATACATTGAGTACAATCACACTAATAATTGATGAGAAAATTGAATAAAATCAATTAATGATTGATAAATGTGGGCAATAGTCGAAGTTTCTCAGAGCATCTCTACATTTGCTTAAATCAATGTTTAAGTTATGCAACAGTAGTGCCAGAATGTGTGCAAATTGGGCTAAGTTTACACGAAATAGCCATGAAGTTGAATACTATAGATATGATTACTTCTACATAAATAAAAGATTAGTTACTTTGGATCTAAATCAGAATTCAAACAAAAATTAATGGAATTATATATATTTACAGTATAGTACAGTATATCAGTGTATTTGTGAAAACAAACATTGAATTTCATGTCCTTTAAGACGCCTTCAGAGTCAAGATATCAGTCAATAACCATAAGAGTATCGAACAGTCAAACACTACATAGAGTTGGGACAGTAGTCTAGTATATCATATAATATGTGTTTATAGAGTGGAAGCAACAGTACGTTCACTCAATGAACAACTATTTTCACGAATGAACTCATTTTGATACTCACGACAAGTGGAAACTTTATAAGAATAAACCATTTCAAAGATTTCTACTTTCCAATCGTTTCAAACTTCATTTCCACATTTTATGTCTATTTGTTGACTAATTACTCAATTATTAGAAATCTTATGACTTTATTGTGAAAAGTGATGCATTTTATTAGATTCTCTCAGCTTTTATGTTAAGTACAGAATATTTTCAATTCATTAATAGTGAAGTGAAGTGCAGACTATGGAAGCGTCGCAAAGCTTTAAGAACAGGACAATGGAGTCGTCTATTGTCATGGATTCGTCCACAAGACTCAGAGGTTCAGTGGTCGTGGAAAGGGGTCATCAGAGGAAAACGTCCGGCTCTTTCATCCACGACAGCATCAACAGTAGTGTTGACTTTCCCGCATATATTCCGTGGCAAACACTCTCTACAGACCTATCGGACAGACTTCGGTACTAATCATACGCTTACTTACAGTATATCTCATGAAATGGTCTAATATTTTGTATGAATATAACAATTGCATTGCAGTCAGGGATCCGTTAGAATAAACAGAAGGTAAATGAGCTTGATTATAACTCAATGATTGTACTGACAAACCATTGTTGAACTGAACTCAAGTAATATCGTGGAGTGGGCCACCATTAAGGAGGAGACTGAAAGAAGTCCACTACTGGACCAATTGGCCCGAAAGTATGAGCCCACCAGTGCTTCCGATGACAGCAGCGGATCTGATTATAGCAAACCCGGAGTGACTGAAGCATTACGAGGAGGTCAGCCATTATTGACAATTTTTTTAATTCAAAACACATTTTATTGATTATTTAATTGAAACACAAATATCTATCTATCAGATAAAATAATGTAAATTATAATTATCTGCTATTTTTGTTATTTGGTTTGTATTACTGTTATAGCATAGTCTTTAATTCAAAAATAGAGTATGTCTAGCGTTCAGTTATCTCAATAATAATAACAATTTATTTCGGCAAAAATCTCCATAAAAACATAATATGATTGAAACACACAATTATGACGACAACTGCTTTTATTAGTCACTATCATCATCGGAATCAATTTGTTTGTCAATGTCTTTCTTATTTAACTCTGAAGGGGTTTCCGTTGCTTTAGAATTGCATTCATTTTTGTTATGTAGAAGTTTTTTGTTATCATTAGATTCAGAATAGTTATCGTTATTAGAATTATCTGCTGGGGATTCGTTTGAATGACAATCACGTTGTTCATCGATGGCTAGTTTGGCGGCTCTCTCCAAGACGTCGAGATCCAGATTAACATCACTTTTGTTGACTCGGATGTGTTGGAGAGCAGTGGCCAACGACTCAAATGTGTTGCTTTTGAGAGACTGCAGCCAAACGCAGTAGTCAGTGATGTAGAGGTCGTTCAATAAATATCTGCCGTCTCCGCTCTCATTAAACATCTTATGAATGTCTAGAAAACAATTTAAGACACAGTTTTGGCCCAATTCTATAATTCTGATGACATCTTCGAGCACTTTGAGAGATAAACTCCATTCCCGATATAATGGATAACAAAGAGATCGTCGAATAGAAGTTATAATAACTTCTTTAAGCGAGTCGTAAGAGTCAAACCATGACAAAGTGGCCGACAGTTTACATACAGTCCAACCAGACTCCACATTATGGTCGCCCTCATTGACCCGCATATCATAAGCGTAACCAAACAATATGTCAATCATTCCCAACAATAACTTCTTTTTGATACACTTCTCAAGAATATACTCTTTTTTGGGCAAATCTTTCAGTTTAAACCTCTGATCGTCGCTAAATGTATCACAAAATGGGAATTCATATGAATTTAAGTTTGAAATAATTTCATTTTGGTCGTAGAGATCAGATAAATAGTGGTCGTCATTGAAATCTTCAGATTCTGTAGCCAATCGTTCTTCCCTTCTCTCGCTATAACTTTTATGTTCGGGATCTTTGATATCAATTAAATCATTAAATTCTTCCACAATTCTTGCGACCACTGCTGAGTACTGGTCGGCAAACCCATAGGTCTGTCCAAAGAGTAATAAGTCGTCGCTTTCATGTCTAACTGTTTGCTCCAAATGCCAATCAAAGTCCTCATCAATCAAAAAATCACTCTCTGTGTTCACCTCTTGTCCATCAATCACTTCAATTAAAGACTTTTTAGTTATTTGTTTGTTTGATTCATTTGACAACAATTTGGTCAATAAATCTAATCCCTCAAAGTGTTCGCCTTTATTTAGTTTAGAAATCTTCACCACAAATGTACCGCTCTTTGAGTCGTAATCTGTCTCTTCTTCTCCGTCTTCAATGACTTTTGACGGAAGGCTTAGTCTAAACATTGGGTTATTTAAAGTCAACTTTGATTAAAATGAAGGATAATATCTGAGAGCATTTAAAACTTTCGATTTCGACATGAAAACTTTATTCTTAATTTCTACACTGATTATTATTCAACCTATACTTTTTCCAAATCTTTAAAATTATCTAATAATTATACAATATAATTATACTACTATCAGAATATTGCATACATTGAGAAGTGTCTTTAAATATACAGAATATATTACAAAAGAATAGCAGAATATACAGTAAATTCTAAGGTTATAAATATTCATTTAATACAATACCTGAGATAATATGGCTTTGAATAGAACCTGAAGTCTTGATCTTCAAATTGGATTTCAGTGTCAGTTATCCTGGTGTTCGGCGCTTTAATATTTATATACAGACTGTTAGGGTCTTGAGTTATGCTGAATATCGGAGTTAACATCTGGTAAAACAGAATATAAAATATTCATTGAGTCATTGAAAATTTTTAAACATTATTTAAATTTAATTGAATTTAAATTTAATCTATATTTAATTGACTGGTTAATTGTGACAATAGGGTCGAGTTGGAGAGTGGGTGCCTTCCTCCTAGTAAACGCTGCATTGGGGGCCGGGGTTCTCAACTATCCGGTTGCTTACGATAGATTGGGAGGTCTGACAGCCGCTACTTTAGTTCAATTGGTTTGACTTAATTCGTATTGAATTCTTAAAATTTATACTTTGAATTGATTTGACAAAACAATAGGTCATAATTGCAATGTTGGCGACAACAATGTTAATATTAATATACTGTTCCGATATTAATAATGACAGCACTTATCACGATGTCTTACTGTCAATGTGTGGTAAAAGAGCCCAACAATTAGCCGCCGCCTCTATTATGTGCACCTGTTTTGGCATTAATGTCACATTTCTGATCATAATTGGTGACCAATATGATAGAAGTATAATAAATAAGCCATTAAACTAATCATTATAATATACTAATTTTTACTTAATTTCAAAGTGTTCGCGACATACATGGGGTCACAGTTTTGTCATACATGGTATCTAAACAGGAATTTCACAATATCTATCACAGCTATTGTATGCATTTGGACGATGTGTTACTTCAAAAGACTAGACTTCTTGAGATACGCGAGGTCTGAGTGAAACACAAATTACTTACCCTGATACTTTAACAAATAACATGACTATTTCAAAATCAATAGCACTCTCGGAGTTTTTGCAATGCTTTACGTGGTGTTTTTAAACGTTTACGAGTATCTAATACTGGAAACTAAACCCGGTCCAATCAAGACAAGGTACTAATATAGCAAACTTAGCAAATAACTGATTAATGACCACTGATTATATTGCTTTAATGTCAGCCCAGGCAGTATGGTGAGCTTATTTGCAGCCCTTCTATTTGACAAAACAATAGGTCATAATTGCAATGTTGGCGACAACAATGTTAATATTAATATACTGTTCCGATATTAATAATGACAGCACTTATCACGATGTCTTACTGTCAATGTGTGGTAAAAGAGCTCAACAATTAGCCGCCGCCTCTATTATGTGCACCTGTTTTGGCATTAATGTCACGTTTCTTATCATAATTGGTGACCAATATGATAGAAGTATAATAAATAAGCCATTAAATTAATCATTATAAAATACTAATTTTTACTTAATTTCAAAGTGTTCGCGACATACATGGGGCCACAGTTTTGTCATACATGGTATCTAAACAGGAATTTCACAATATCTATCACAGCTATTGTATGCATTTGGACGATGTGTTACTTTAAAAGACTAGACTTCTTGAGATACGCGAGGTCTGAGTGAAACATAAATCACTTACTTTAACAAATAACATTACTATTTCAAAATCAATAGCACTCTCGGAGTTTTTGCAATGCTTTACGTGGTGTTTTTAAACGTTTACGAGTATCTAATACTGGACACTAAACCCGGTCCAATCAAGACAAGGTACTAATATAGCAAACTTAGCAAATAACTGATTAATGACCACTGATTATATTGCTTTAATGTCAGCCCAGGCAGTATGGTGAGCTTATTTGCAGCCCTTCCTGTCGTGTGTTTTGCATATCAGGTGATTATCTCATTATAATACAGTATTGTGTTAATTAATGCAACAAAATTGTCACCAAATAAGACACACGAAATAGTGGTTCCGATCTACGCCTGTATGGCTGACCGAAAACTCAAGTCTTTCTCAAAAGCCACAGCTTTGGCACTCTTCCTCCTATTCTTTCTGTACTGTCTTTCCGGTACTTTCGGTTACTTGACTTTTGGTGCTTATGTATCACCAGATATAATGGTAAGCAAACTGTTCACTACATGTATCTCTATTTTACAAAAACCTTTGATCTGTTAGCAAATGTTTGACGCAAGAGATCCAGTAGTGGCCGCAGGTATTCATACAAACATTGCAAACATGCATTCATTACTAACACATTATTCCGGAAATTAGGAATATTTGCTTTAATAATCAAAATGATCACAACATACGCGCCCCTAATGTTCTGCGGGAGGTATGAATGAAATGTTTAATTTGTGCGTTAATTGAATGACAAATGAATGCCATTGAAGGGGAGCTCTGGACGGACTGTACGCCGAGTTGTCTAAACTGTCGGCCGAAGACTTCATTGGAGGAGAGCTGAGGCGTCGGATCATTATAACGAGTGTATGGAATGCAGTGGTACTCCTCTTATCAATAGTCACGCCTAACATTACCATTGCTATCGAACTCTTGGGTCAGTTTACTATCATATCTACACTTCTTGTAAACACTCGTAACCTCTAAATAATGCGATAATTCATGTGCCAAGAAGTTAGCAGACTTTCTATACATGTATTTCAAACAAACGCTGAAATAGTGATTAGATTTTCGCTATTTTCATAAACAAATGGGAATTTCCCATACAATGAACACATCCTATCATTAGTCAAAATAAGTTTATTGAAATCAATGAAAGCATGTATAGGTTCTGGAGGCCAACCCTTTCCAATCAATTAGTAAATTGTTTACCACCAAAATGAGACCTCTTTTTATAACTCTCTATAAACAAGGCAATCGTGTGTTTTCAATACTTTTGAATGAATAGACAACTAATAGTAAACATATGATAACCATTTGACGACAGGTTCATTGGCGTCGTGTAATGTGTTTGTCTTCCCGGGGCTCTGTATGGTAGCGCTGGCCAAACGTATGTCCCGTTTGGGCACTAATGTGCTCTTCAGCAAAGCCCTCCACATCTACGGCCTTCTGGTCATACTTACGGGTGCTTTCATTTTCGTCATTGTCTTCATACAAGTCATCAACGACTTGCTCTACTCGGAAGGAGAAGCACTTCTTTGCAAATAACATACCATTCCTTCATTCATTCATTCAGAATCTATGAGTCAGATGACTGACCCTTTTGAGCCGTATTTTTATATAATATAAAGTTTTCAAAGTGTTGTCATCTCTGCAGTCAAACACTCGATATATAGTTTTAATGCAAATCTATTTATAAGTTAATTTTATTCAAACATTTATCTCTAATTAAAGAAAATGTGTTTTATTTGAAAATTCATTCATTAATAAAAAGATTTTTAACACATTTTGCATTTTTAAAACTCATTTGATATCACTTAAATATAACATGAAATGTAATCAAATTAAAGGTAATTCTATTTATAATGATAAATGATCATGGTCATACAATGAGATATGCATTAAAGCCCCTAAAAATAAAGTCTCCTTTGATTGGAACATGCTACAAATATTGAACAAGGTACAATTATTACGAGTATATAATTTATATTCCCATTTTGTAGAGCAAATTTAGACATTTATTTAGTAATTGTATTCGAGCATGGTCGTATTTGACAATTAACTAAAATTAACAAAATGTCATATTAATAGATTAAGTTTAGTGTATTAACATTACAGTGCATTATTATTAATGTGAACCCAAATTAAAATAAGATCTAGATCATAATATAGCACACAATTAATTGTAATATTGAATGCATTTGAATAGTGCGCTAATGCTTACTGCAGGCCTGAAGTGCGCATAAAATAATACATCAGGGTAGTATTGTATTGGTAGGGTAGGGTAGGGTAGTATTGGCAGTATTGCAGTGCACTTATAGCACACAGTGTACGACAGTCTGCATACAAGCAACCAATTGATGATTCATTGCAATTAAGTCACAATTAATTGACATTCACTCAACACTTACGTCGACCAGTGGTGGGAATGCCGTCGACGGGACGGGTGGACAGGCGCTTGAGTTCAGGTAAGCGTTCGCTTCACACTAATACTGCCAATGAGTTCAGGTTTAGGGCCAACACTAATGGCACCGATGAGTGTCTATATTACATGTGTTGCCATACATTACGGCCTATGCTATGAAACACTCGCACAATGTGTTTGTCTATTCAAATCCAATGCAATTCACACGCAATGTATGATTGGTTTGCATTTGTTTTGCAAACGTTTTATACGATTCACTGTTTGACACGATTTGTATGATTTTGTTGACAAATGTTTGTGTTTTCAATGAAAACACAATTCAATTGACTGTCAATTGAACTGAAAATCATCGCAACAATGATTGAATTACTCAACTCTCGAAGAATGACACTAATTGTGGTCGTGTTGATAATGGTCTGTATTATTGTCATCATATGGGAGGACCTCTTAGCAGACAATGTGGACAAACCATCGCCACATCGACTGCACCACAGTTTCGATGATTTATTGGTCAACAAGTCGTCGGTGAACATGAATCCAATGGATCCGTTGACAGATGTGTTGAACTCAAGTCAACTGAAGTTCGTGTCCGAACAGAACACTCGGACTGAGTCCAAGTGTTGGCGATTCCAAGACTACGAAGTGTTGTCTTCGTGTGTGACTTGTGATGACACAGACATCACATCCAGACATCTGACTGCTTGCAAAGCCAATGGATTGAAACAACTCATTAAATGCCAATCCATTGGTTTAGTGTACCGCTCGTGTCATACCTCCGAAGCAAACTTCTGGTTCTTTGAGTTTGCGATGATATTTGTGTCCATTTTTAGCTCATTTTACGTGAATTTAAGGCAAAAATATATTAATAGAAAGACTATCGAAAGGATTGAACGACAAATCGCTTCTTAGGATTAGTTAATTAATTAATCAACAGTTAATTAAGTGATAAACAACCGAAAACAAACCTAACAATAAGTCTAAAAATAAAAAATATTTATAAATGAATTTACATATATTTTATATTTATCTGGAATGAGTAACAATATTGCTAATAAATTATTTTAAAAATTATATAATGAATTGATAATAAATATATTCATTGAGTTTAAAATTAAAACCAAATTTCAGATGAATTGGATGAAGACATCCATATCTGCGGTGTCTGTAAGCAGTCGTTTGGAGACATCAATGCGTTTGTCAGACATAAGAAGGTCTGCAAACACGACAAGAAGAGGGTATCAAATGCCGCACCAAATGAGTCCAACACTAAAAAGAGTGCACAAAAAGCCACTAAAAAGTAGTTTTCAAACTTTTACGGGTTATGGCTTTAATTGTAAAATATATTCTCAATGTTAATGAATAGGGATCGACAGAAATCAAAGAAATCCAAATTATTGGCTAAAAGTTCACAAAAAGTTGATAAAAGTAATAAAGACGTTGACTTTCAATCAAATGAATGTCTGCAAATTTGTGGTGATGCTGAACAATGTGCTGTGGTTGATCCCATAGTACCAGATAATGCGGACAAACACTTAGAAAATGAATCGGAATTAGTTCAGTCGACCATCACTTCGACTGGAAGTACAATCTTCTACTCTAACGGTATTTTTGTGCGAATATTGTTTGCAATAAAATATGAGTAATTTTTATATCAAATTTAAAGTTACGACAGAAAATGGGAACAAATTTAAGTGCGAGCATAATAGTGGCTGTCAATACACTACTCATTATCTCAAAGACTTGGAGCGACACTATAGGTGTGACCATTGATTTAATTATTGTTGAAATAAATGCTAATTAAGTTGATTCGTAGGATTCATACGGGAGAGAAGCCATTCAAGTGCGACCAATGCGACCGAACTTTCAATCGAACCGACAAATTGAGACTACATTTGAGAAGCCATACGGGAGAGAAACCATACCAATGCCAGCAATGTCTGTACACCACATGATGTAATAGCCTTTTAGTTGACATTTTATCAATTACTAAACTACAGGCGCCTATGCATCCAGCGATAGAAGTAGTTTAGTGAAGCACCAGAGGATACACACCGGTTTGTCGTCTCTTTTTTAGTGATTAGTTTTAATGTACGGTATTATTATTTGGTAACAGATGAACGGCCCTATAAATGTCAACTCTGTAGGTATGCCAGTCGTAACTCAAGTCAATTAGTGGTGCACTTACGGACTCATACAGGTTAGACATCAATTTAGCCCTATATGATAGAGTAGACTAATAGTCTATGCGGTAAATGGGGATAACAGTCCGCTGCGCGGGAAATCCACACACAATACAAGCCGGCGAAAATTCTAGTTAAGTCTAGACTTCTCTGTATACTTCTAAGTATGCCCTCTCTTCGGTATGCGGACGCTAGTTACTTCATACAAGTCGGCCATCAAAGGCAATCTCCAAATGCATTACAAACTCAATCATTCCGGTGAGAGTCAAATGCAATGCAATGAATGCCAATTCGTGGCCACTTCTAAGAAGGCTCTCAAAGAGCACGTCAGAGATCACAACTTGAAGTCCTTGTCCTGCGATCACTGCAATTACACGACTGGTTCCCGTTCAGCGCTCAACAATCACATCAGGTCTGACCAAACCATACATACATTGATTGCTTATTAAGTCACGAAAAGTCACGAATTATGTCACGAATCAACAGAACCCACACCAATGAGAAGCCCTTCCAGTGCACAGTCTGTGACTATGCCTGTCGTCAGGCCTGTAATCTGAGCACTCATATGAAGAAAAAGCACCCGAACTCTGGTACGGGTTTTGTATCGAAACCAAGACCTAAACCGCGAAATCAAATACGTTTGAGAACTGGTGGTAATGCGTCCAAAAAGACGGGTTACTGTCAGACGATATTTGAGTGCCATTTGTGTGACTGTTCTTTCGTGAGAGAAGACTCTCTGCGAAGTCATCTGCGACACCATCAGGACCTCATCCCCACTACCGGTGCCGCTCTCGCTATACTCCAACTCCAACACGAGAACCAAATGAACGAACAAATGGCAGATAACGACAAACAAACGCAAGTAATCGCCGAAAGGACACAACCGCAGGAACTCGAGTTGGAAATGGACACCAATGACAAACCCGATGATACCATTGCTGTGAACAGTCATCTCTACCGAAGACTAATGCATGACAACGTGGAGGCTAATAGCGAGCACTCATACAACCGATCGATACCACCGAAGGCCAACTCACGAAGAGGTCGGCCGCAGAAGAGGTCTCGCAGTCAAGTGCTGACCAAACCTCTGGAGTTGGTTCCCTCGCCCACAGCGTCGGGTCAAGTGGTCTACCATTTGCCACAATCGATGCGTTTGGTTTCATACGTTCCCATCGGATCCAACGCCAACTCCGTGGACACAGTGTTCGTCATCAACAGCGACTCCATCGATGGCAACACTGACTCCATGACGACAACCATTATGAACACCAATTGATTGCATTTTGCACTCAATTTATATACAAATTATATGTTTTTATTTCAAATGTTATATAAATTGACAGACATTTGGTTAACCATTAAAATGATGACAAATTGTGTAAAAGGTATTCATTTGATGTCTTCGTCGTCGAAGAGGTCCTCGAAGTCGTTGAAGAAGTCCGAGTGAACCAACTTCTCGTTCTCACAGTTCAGCTACCAGTCACGCCTTGGTGACGGGTGCAGTAGGTACAGGTACTTACCCACGTGGGGAAGGCCCTTGTAGAGCAGGCGGTGATAGCAGCCGAAGTAATGACACCTGGTTGAGAACTCGCAATACTTCGGACACTATTTCACAGATATTTCACTCGCTTTTCAACACAACAATCAACTGAAGGCACACTCAATGCTATGCCATGTCTTCACCACAGATGTCACCACAGATTCACTCTTTGAGTCACTTTTATTACAAATCATTTATTTTATTTGATTTCAAATATTAATTATTATTTATAAATGATTTCAATTTAAGGCAATCAATCAATTTATTCACTCATTTTTGAGCAAGTTTTTCAATGGATTAAAAAATGTACTAGATCAATGAATTTTTAATGATTTTGACACAAATTGTTTGGCAGAATATTAGCAATTCTGGTTTTACATCTAGATTCTAGACTTTATAGGATTTTATTATCGATTACATTATAGGATATTATTTAATCTTTTGCCATAATGAATTTAATTGTGAATAGCAATTAAGTATTACAGTATTAGTGTACTGTAATCCTTATACTTATAATTTAGGAGTAAATAAATAAATTACTTAGATTAACATAAAATAATTGAAATTTTTTGAATTTAAAAATATCCACGCTAGTTTTCATATTCCTATATAGTAAAACTTGATTATCGTAGTGTTGTAGTATTCTAACAATAAGTATATAATATTTTAAGAACTATTAATTTTTAAAAGTAAACTTTTAGTGTTATATTACTTTAGTTTCAATAAATCTATAGCGTTTTAGTGATATTATTATAAGACCTAAAAATGAATTATAGATTAGAATTGCAGTGAAATGTCGTTTGTTTCATGTTATATAAGAGTGCTATAGATTATAGCAATGATTATGAGGACAAATAAAAGTCATGAATTGAATATATCAATCATTGACGACACTTTCAATGAGCCATTAAAATGCTTTATATCTATAGAACTGGTGAACAATTGTTTCCTTTTTGTCTCATCTCTCAAACGTTGAGATATTGTTTTGGACATCAAGTCCTTATGTGTAAAGAATGTCAAACAGTAGTGATTTTGGTTCAGAGCAGAGGACCGGGAATCGAGAGTTTGACAAAAGAGTTAGAAGTACTGCATATCCATTGCATTGCATTAAATGTCTGTTCACTACAACAATGGCTTATATTCTGCTGTAAAGTGAATCGAAAGCTGTGTCTCAGATATATAGCACGACTCGTAAGACTCTTTTCACTCATCATTTTCACTCTCATGAGCCGATTGAGCGGTTGTCCCCATCTCTCCCTCTCTCTACTCATGTTTTATTTGAGATTCAATTCAATCTTAGCTTTTGTCCCATTCCTCCCTTTCCTCTGTCACTGCTATCATCTCTCAAACGCAAAGTTTTTAATTCAATGAATTCTTTATACTTGTATTGCAATTGTGTTGAAAACTACAAACTTTTCCATAAAATTAAATCAATTGTTAAAAGAATTATCTGATATTTAAAACCAATTATTTATTAATAGTTTTTGTGTAAACATTTCATATGTTTTAATATTTGGAAATGGATTTCAATGAATTATTCACAGAAATTGGTGATTATGGCAAATATCAGAAGTTGATGCTATGGTTTGTCTTATTTCCCGCACAATTGCCATATTTGTGTCAACTCTACTGTCACCTATTTATGTCCATAACTCCCGATCATTGGTGTCGAGTGTCATTATTGGATCCATTTAATGTGACCGACCATTTCAATCGACATCTATTTGTGCCTAAAAAGGATAATATCCTGCACAGTTTACAATACGAACAGTGCTATGTTTATAACATCTCTTACCAGACTCTCGTAGAACATAGCATTCAAATCGGTTGGATTCCTAACCAGACGTGGCCCATAAGCAACACGAGGGTCCCCACCCAGATGTTGTCCTGGCGTGAACCCCTACTGCTAAGGTAATAGTGGTTCCATAAGTATAGAAATGAAAATTATATAATATGGTCAGCTGTTTTTAGCATTTTAACAGAGTATTGATACCACTAATCATATTTTTTACCACTATTTACCACTATTTTTTAAAACAAACTGAAACTAATTTTCTGTAATAATTGATTGTAACAAAATTGCCCTTAAATGACACTTACTTGCAATGCTAGTACTATTTGAGGTTCATTTATTTTATACTGTATTAATAAGTTAATTCACTCTAAATATTTAATTATAATATAATAATCCAATTTCTTGTCAGTTAATTTAATTGTAAACTAAAAATGTATAAATGTAAGTTGATTCAATAATATGGGGGTTTAATAGTAAAATGAAATGATAAATTATTTAATTCAAAATTTTGTAAAAATTCTTAACATTAATACAGAAATAATAATTTAAACTTACAATTGTTTTATAAAGTTATTTAAAATTAGTATGAAATATTTTAAAAATTAAATATATTTTCAAATATTTATTAAAAGTCAGCAAGTAAAGATTGAACCTAATTTTACATCATATACTACACAAAATTTCTGGTCAATTGAAACAAATCTTTTTTGCATTTTATTTTATTTTGATTTAAATAAATGTAAATAATTGCAAATATTTAAAAAACAAAATTAGTTTTATTTTTGATGAAAATAATCAAATTTATTCAAAGAAAATACGAAAGTAAATTAAAGTTCTCTTTATGGTAAACTCCTTTAATACGGTATTTATATTGACATAAGTTTTGTAAATTGCGTACATACTGAACGTTACGTGATTTGTAAATATAGTATTAAGATGTTTACCCTCCCATCCCAGTGCTCTCCCTGTGCAGCACTTTATTGATCTAATTCTTTTCAAAACTACTTTCACATAACAAATGAAAAACGAATTTACTTTTACTTCAAAACCCTATATCATTTAAGATGTTTACCCTCCCATCCCAGTGCTCTCCCTGTGCAGCACTTTATTGATCTAATTCTTTTCAAAACTACTTTCACATAACAAATGAAAAACGAATTTACTTTTACTTCAAAACCCGTCGAATATAAACTGATTTATGGCTTCAAAAGTTTTGGATCTATTGATTGGTTGTCTCATCTGAATCCTAATTACTTTGTTTCACATCAAAGTAATTGTAATATAATTTCCACTGGATACAAATAGTGTAGAAATAGCTACTGAATATTCTATAAAAGCAAATTTTAGTTTTCAAAACTACCATGAATTTATGTTTGTTTTTAGTCATACTAGTATACAATACACTTAAGTCTTAAGGCATTAATATTGAATTAATTCTACATTTTCTTTAATCAAATAATAGTGAAGTTGGGGACAAATATTGACATTTTTTGATGTATTATTTTCATTTAAAAGCAATGTATGGCTGATTTGTCACAGAATTTTGGTTTTTAATGTTTTAGTTATTTAACTCGAGTTAGAAATCAAAACAAGAAGTAAAAGCAAAACCAAATACTACTAAAGTGTAAGTAAAAAGCTTTTTGACACAAAAGTGACAGAAATCGGAGTGAAGTGTATTTCATCTGAACTGAGAGTTCATTGAATTAAATAATGAAGAGATCATAGAAATCATATCGCAGTCACAGCTATTGAATGTGATTTATTGGAGCAGAATATCTAATCCAATGACAAATGTTTAATGCGATAAAAAAATTATTCCTCACATATAATATAACTAAACATTTAAAATATGTCTTTAAGTAACTGAATGTTGAAAAGTTAATGCGATTCTTGGAGTCTCTCTCTCTCTCTCTCTCTCTCTCTCTCTCTCTCTCTCTCTGTTTGTGACAGTTAGGCACTCGAGTGAATGAGTGCACGGAGTGGGGGAGTCCTACCATCCATGAGCTCATCACCATGAGAGTATCCATTGAAACAAGATTTGAAAAAACTACTCAACCATATCAGCCATAAAGTCGTCATTTTTCACGACTATTCAACAAATCGAGTCAATCATATTTCAGTGCATTTCGCACACTTTAGTCGTGACAACACTTTTGCTTTCATTGTTTTTATGCACTAATAAAAACTCATTTTACTGTTTAAGTCACTACAGAATATTGTGTAAAGTCTGCTTGAAATAGTTTTTTATTTTTAAAACTTTTAAACTAACTTATTCTGATAAGTTTATTTCGTAAATCTGATAATTCATTAAATATTTTTAAAACATTAAAGAATATTAAATTTATCAATCTATTTGATAGTAAACTTTTCACTTGCATATTTATTCTTAACATTCAGTAGTTGTAACATTTTTCTTTCAATTATTTTGATATGAAATAATGTCTTTACGATATAAAATACATTAAATTAGAAATAGATTTATTCTAGAAATTTGTTAGAAATATAACGACACTAAAAGTATTAGAGTCTGTGATGAATAGTGTTTGTGAAAGACTGCATTCAAGAGTATCTGACTTACATTAGAGATAATTTACAATTTATTTATTCGTGGCTCAAGTGCCCAGAATTCATTTAAATTCAATTATTATTTGTAAATTTTATCCATAATTATGTAATACTATCTTAATTAATATAATAAAATAACTTGAGTTATTAAAATTAAGTAAGATAAAAATAATTATGAATTTAAAATGTAAATTTTTTATTCTCCACATTTAGACATTTCTATAAAATTAATTATAAAATATTAAATAAAATGTGATATCATTAGCTATTATCTTTTAATTATTATTTAATTTATTAATGATAAAGTGCTAGAAATAAAATAAAAGACTATCAATAAACAAACATCTAAATTGATATTAATTAATACTTACTTGATTGCAAAATTATTACTAATTAAATAAGAAAATAAAGATAGTGTTTAGTTGTAGCTACCATTTCATAATGATTGTTTTTTATATTTCATGGGATTTTTAATTATAACATTTTTATGAAAACTAGATATTTTGGTCAAATTAGTGTTGTAGAAAATAATATATAATTCCCATTTTATTTTGTATATTATTCATTGTGACTTCTTAATCTTATTCATTTTTATGTGAAACTATGAATTATAGGAATAAATCGTAACAATATTTTGTTTTTATGAGACAATCTATCAAAAGCCAAATCTAATGTCGAGTTAACTCTCTTATTGATTATTATTAAAGCAAATGAAAAATTGCATTCTTTTAGTCAAATGTCTTTTCTTTTCCTTTCAGTTATTGTTTTATTTCTCTACTGTTTTGTCTTTGTCTTCAGTTTTTATGCATTCCGTCCAAAGAAGGCTTCACTTTGAGTTCATGTCATTTGTGACTGAAATCTTTGTTTCAATTTTAAGACTTTTATCAAAATATATTGTATATAATATATATTTGAATCCACACTAAATCACATTTGACAATATATTCAATACTAATCAAGTTTTAAAATTTCTACAATTGATTATTTAGATATTTTGCATAGTATTTGATAAAATTTTATCACTGAATTAAATTAAAATTTTATATAACATTTTTATTATTATGATATTGTAACACTTAAAGGTTTACGTTTATAGGTTTTGTGTAATATATACTTTAGTAAAACTAATATTTTGTATCATTTAAAGTGGGATCTGGTCTGCGATCGAGCTTTCAATCAAATAATACCTATAATTGGCTTCTTTTCGGGAAGTTTTTTTGGTTTAATTTTTGGAAACTTATTATCAAAAAAGTAAGTTACAATTCTTGAACAATAAAAACCAAAACAATTTGCGGCACTTAAAGACATATTGCATTGATTTGCATACAGAATCGGAATGAAAAGTACATACTTTGTGATGTTAAGCCTTCAGTGCCTTTTCGGAGTCTCGATTGCATTCAGCACTCGCTTCGATCTGTTCTGCATTTTACGATTTGGTGTCGGATTCTGTATCCCAAACATCGCCTCAATTCCCAAAACTCTTTGTGAGTGTCTAACAAATTAACCAATTAATCATTTATCGGATCGTTTGCGCCGAGTCTAACTATAACTAGCAAATAATTTTTATCCAAAGAATAATCATATAATAAAAGTAATCAAACAAAACCCAATCTATTACTCCTTAACAGCTCTTGAGTTGACATCACAACAAAAGGGCGCAAAAGTTTTATTACTGTCTGAGATGTGGCGAAATATCGGTGCTTTGCTTCTGGTTCTGGTCTCGTATTTGATCCGAGACTTCAATCACTTAACTGTTGCCATAAGCGTCCCATTCACGGTATTTTTCAACATTTATTTTATCATTATTTATGGTATTTTATGGAATTAATTATATCTATTTTCACAATTTTTTCAAATCTATTTTAAAGGTATTTCTGTTGTATTACTGGTAAGTGTGATATTAATACAAAATAAGATTAGTTTAAGAAAATCAAACGATTTTAATTAACAATAATTTGAAGGCTATTCCCAGAGTCTCCCAAATGGCTTATAATGAATGAACGCATCGATGAAGTCGATAAACTGGTCAGAGATATCGCTGCAACTAATGTCACAATACTTTCCCCTGATTTCAGTATTACTTTGCGGGTAAGGGTTTAATGAACTGAACTCAACATAATTTGTCTCTTTTTAAGTATCATTTCGTTTCCATTTCTTTCGATTACAAACTCGTAAGAGAAGAATCCGAGTCGAGTGCGCCCTTCAGTCCGAACTCAATACAACTCAAACCCATTCACTCTTTGGGTCTCTCTTTTTGCCTGACTTTCGATTCAAAGTTCTCGGCATTTGCTTACTATATATCACTCACTCTATCACTGACATTGGATTCACTTATTATATTATCGAGTTTTCAGGTAACAATTTCTTAATAAATTATACAATATATAGACTTTCAGTCAATATATAGATATACAGTATCATAGTTTTTACAGAAAAATTTTAAAAAGCATACTAATAGTAAACTTAAAGTTCTTGCTCATAAGTTATAGCATTTGGATAACAATCTGGCTAAGATTGATAACTAATCAATAATTGTATTATAAATCAATGACCACAAAATATTATTGATTTTTAATTTAAAACTTTTTTGGATTTAATTTTGAAAATTCTAATAAATTTGCAGAGAATCGAGGAAATGGTGACATATATTTCCCATTCATAGTGGTAATCATTGCTAACTATTTGGGTCTTTTGATCGCAAGAATTACTTTAAAACGTTTCGGTCGTAAATATACGATAAGTTTTGGTGATATATTGTCGGCATTTTTCAGTCTTATGAGCGCTTTCGTCAAAAATAAAGACATAAATCTATGCATAATATACTTCGCGTCGGCAAAAGTGTTTCAGTCCTCCTCTCAGAACTCGCTCTTCATTTGGAGCCACGAATTACTTCCCATTTCTTACTACTACTCAGTCATCACTTTATGTGAAACAGTGTCTCAATTGGCGCTCATTTCTGTGCCGCTCATTATTTTCTATGTAAGTCTAATCCCTTTCCAGTTTAAACAAATTGAACACAACATTAGTATCCATGCAATTGAATCATTTGCTGCTATTTATTGATTTGCAGTCCATTTGTTTTACACTCAAACAGACTCAATGATCTGCCAAATATTCATTAAACACAACACTTGTCTAATTATAAGTGATCAGCACTTTTAGAATTCAAGCGATTCAACAGAATCTGAATTCAATGATTAGAATTCATTTTAACGTTATATAATTCTGCATCAAAAGCACAGTTATTTAAAGTTAATTTCTCACAAATATCAATCATCAATACATTATTCTCAATAATCTAATACAGTAAACAATACCAAAAATATTTAAATTAATAACCAAATTCTTTTCACAAGTACTGTTTAAAATTATTATTGTATAATAAAGTACCTTGCGTATTCTAATCAAGAATATTGTATTGAAGAGAAATTAGGTAATTTACATAAAATAAGACAAATTTAATTAATTAATTAAATTTAATTAACTATAATTAAAATAATAGCATTTGATTCGGTTTAGTATTGTAAAATCAAAATCAATACAATCTGTGATTACCTTTAATTGTAATATATTTCTGAATTGATGCCAATATTTCAGAGCAAGAAAAAAGAGGTGATTGTAATGAATGGAATCACTCTATCGTTATGTTTGTCTATCTTTGGGACTTTACTACTGATAAGTGCTTTACTCGGGTTCACTCTTCCGGACACTAATCACCACAAAGTATCCAATTCTTGGCACCAAAACAATACAACTCTCGCCAATCATTGCCAGTGGAGTGATGTCTCCCAATATCCAAACCACAAGTAATTGTATTTACTTTTCTATTTCTGTGCCATTATTTTAATAATAATTGAGCGAAGGGTCAGTCAGTCAGACAATGCAATAACTGATACCATTATATCTCATGTCATGTGCATTATAATTGTGGTCTTTTATTTTCAAGCACTGTCACCTTAATCTATTTATTACCTTATCACAGATTCTCAACATACAGTTATTGTATTTATAGGCATACATCCATTTCCACAAAGGAAAATTATCAATTTATTTTTATTTAAATGGAAATTATTTTAACCTTTATATTAGTCTTAGTTGCACAAACAGCCAAATGTACAATGTTAAATTAATATTGTTAATAATACTGGTCATTTAAGAGTTGTCATTTTTATTTATGAATTTTAATCAAGTCAGATTTTTATTATTATTAATGACATACTCGAAATAATATAAGTTTTCATGCAATAAAGCAAGAATATTCTTTGTAATAAAATAAACCAAAATAACAAATTGCACAATTATAATGTTTAATCCTTTTAAACGATGCTTAATTCATGCTTATACAGTATTTTCAATAATATTTGATATCATTAATAACTTATAACTTGAAATAACATACAGAATTGGGAATTTCACTTAATTATATTATATTCCATATCTTTTCTATTACTTCTGTACGACTATATAGGAAAACACTTAAAAACGGTATCCTTAAGAATAATGGACCACAACAACAGTCACCCATGATCAGGTGAGGTTATGAGGTTATCAAGGCACAATCCCATGATCTCTAAACTGTGATGAATATTCATTGAATAATGCTTACTATGACTTATGTTTAGTTTATTACGAAAACAAGAACTTATGCGACAAAAGGATTACGAATTAGAAGCCAACGATAGGATCACTGAATTAAACGACTCGCCAAACGAGATCTGCACCATTAGAGTGACTGTACTTTGAATTATAGTTCAAACACACATATTATCAAATCCAATCATTTTTAATTTATTTAATTCAAATGTTAAACAATTAAGTATTTATACTGTATTCAAATTAAGGCATTTTATGCTTTTAAAATACTTCAATAAATTAATCTAATGTTTGTTTGTTTGTACGAAACGACCAAAAGTATGACATCTTATGTTTTAAACAGTTCCGGACTCTCGATATTGAATTCTTCAGACTCTTCAGTATCTGAAGGACGCCTAACCGTTTGATACCACCTATTGGTCAGATCAGTCATTTGCGACTTACAGTCCTTCACTTCTTGTTCAGTGAATCTTCGCGTAAAGAAAGGCATCATATATTTGGCATCAAACCTAACAAAACCGGTGACATTCGACTTATTCAAGAAATTCACTTCATATTCCTCTTCAGTTAATTCAGACAAGTGTTCGGCTTCTATGGCCTGACCCTAAATCATATCATTTCAAACTCTTATACACCGTTCGATAGACAAACAATTTGTTAAAAATACCATTTCTTTGGTTTTGCTTAAACTCAATGACCCTCTCGTTCTCCGGTTGGAACCGCTTCTTCTCCTTCCTCTCACTTTTTTGTCGGCTTTCATATACTTAACAAAACAAATAACCACTCCTTTAATGACATGAAAATACAGTGAAGGGAAGGGAAGTGGTGTATACCTTCATGACCGGCATTGATGTCATTCCCATTACTATTATAGTAAATAATACGATAATCAATGTGGTTGTGACGACCACTTCTCGTTTCTCGGTATCAAACTCTAAATGCAGTGCTAATGCATAAGCAATAGCCCCTCTCAGACCACTAATTTTAAAGATTTAATGACCATTAATAAAACAATTTCATAAATATTAAACCATTGAAAAAATTGTACCTGAACCACATGACAAACATCATCTTTTTCGAGATTTTGTGTACTCGGAAGTAATTGACTGCATATGAAAGCGGGTATATGTTTAGCGCCCGACCCGCCAGACATAATATGATAGTCCATATGATTAATTCGATTTTGAAGTTCATTTTGAAGCTAAAGATGGCTAAACCCAGGTATGCAAACACACAGGTCTCTGTCCATCCATACAAACACACATTAATGAGTGAACAATACGGTACATGTCTGAGCAGTTGGTTACTAACCGGCTATGAATGCGAGTGTTCTGAGTGTCTGTTGCATTGTGATCTGAGTGACCGGGGACAGATTGAAATGTGCGTAATGAGACATAACCACCCCATTGAACAGAATGGCCATAATTCCCGACAAATGCAAGCCCTCAGCCAAGCCGTACGGCGCGTATATGAACACTAACATCATCCCAAACTCAAGGGAAGGATGTTTTCGCAAATCAATGTATTTAAAGACCTATTGGTCGGCCAAACATTTAAATATAATAACAGTTCTTATGTTTTTCAATTTCATAGACATACCAGAGCCGCGATCAATGCAAATGCGGCGCCGATTCCGGCTGAACCAAAAAATACAATTCCAAACCTAACAAACCCTATAATTTGATGGTAACAGACCGTCACAAGTGTTATATCAATCATATTACTGTATTATCAATACATTATTTCCATATAAATTATTCAAGGTTTTGTATCTAAATTATAAACTCATTATCAGTTTTATAAAATTGAAAATACCGTTAATAACAGCGACTCCACCGGAAACGGATGAAACAGTCTGTGAGAGTTCGAGTGCAGTGGTGGACAGGACTATAGCGACCGCATCGTTGAGAATACTTTCACCAAAGACTAACATATTTAGAATGGGATCGATGTCTAAGGCATTGAAAATGGCGAGAGTGGCCACCGGATCAACTGTTGGCACAATTTTATAAGATTTTAATTCTTAAATATTTATAGATTACCAGTAATTTGTTTCAATCATAATAATGTCAATTACCTGCAGAAATAAGCGCTCCAAATGCAAAACTTTCTGTAAAATTCATTTTATAGGCGACATCAGCCTTAGGACACAAACAAACAAATTGTTGTAATAATAGCTGACATTATGGTAATACCGGTAATAATAATGAAGAAATGAATACAAACCAAACCCAACACATAAACCCCTCCACCGATAATGAAGGCCGAGATGGAGGTGCCAACGATTGCAAAGACCAGAATAGAGCCGATATTCTGGAAGAAGTTTCCTTTATGTAAGTTATAGCCCGACTCGTAGATAATGGGCGGCAATAGGATCAGGAAAAACATGGTTGGGTTCAGAGACTCCTCTTTCTGTAGTCAATAAAACGACTGTATATTTGAATGAATGGTTGCAACAACTAATCACTCATACCTTCCAGTCTCCCAAATGTTGGTTTGATATTAATTTCATAATCAGACCAATGGTTGCCCCAAGAAATACAACGGCCAACGATTCCGGGATGTATTGGAATTTAGTTTGGATTATGAAATGTATTAATACTATACACGAAGCTATTGGTGATTATGAGAGAGAAATACAATTATATGACAACAATGAAAGGTCCGGTGCTTGAGATGGACTCACCGATGACTGTCAGCACAAAGAATATAGCCATCGATGAGTGCTTCTCCTCCTCTGCGGCTCCTTTCTGTGGAAGAATGGGGTCTTGAGGTGCAGTGGATGTGGTGGTCGACGGGGTTTGTGTCCCATTGTCTGCTGCGCTCGTGTTTGTCGTATCCGTGCTATAAACATGACAATCAATGGTCTGTCAATCCAATGGATCTCACACTCATCATCACCGCTAAGACAATACCTGTTTGGCCACAAAACCGTTGTCTTAGACATGGATTCATTGGCCGACACATGGGGTTCACTCAACGACTCTTTAGGCTTGTCTTCGGCGACTGAATTCAAATGTCTTCGATGTCTGGATGTGTCTAAAATTTGCTCGTTTTGGTCATCAAGACATTGGACACCCTTTGGGGACAACTCTTCACAACAAATATAGTTAACGAAAATAATCACAATAAAGACTAGATTTTTGCAGATAATAGCCATAACTTTAGTATAATATAGATATTTAACGTAAAATATAACAAATAATATGAAAATGTGTTTAAAATATAAATAAAACCCGAAATGAATTCAAATGAGACATAAAATGTTGCATTTCTTCACACTTTCCATACATTCCTCGCATACATAGCATTGAAC